GTTAAATCAGAATTGTCTACATTTCAACAAAAATCAGGCCAGAAATTTTCATGATTTCCACAAAAATGTGAAACCACCACTTGTGTCTGCATATGAAACAAATCATCATCTGTTGGAACTTTTGTCTTATCTTTTGAGCTATATAAAATTGCAGCATAAACACATTTATTATAATAACTCATTATAGGCTGCTCAAATAATTTCCATTTATTGTTTTTTGCTAGTTAAAATAAAAAAAAGTTAATCATCAATCTTATATTAACAATGAAACTAAAAAGAATTCATAACAATCTTTGTTCGAACTAATTTTGCTTCATGTTTAAAGTCTGCAACAATTAGATGTACTATCTGCTGTCCACCCAGTACCTTGTTGCTGTTTAAGTCACCATCAATACAGATATCAAGAACAATATCATACTCTCAAGAACTGGTATGATTTTTTCTATAACTTCTATAAGAATGGCATGCTCCATTTGGCGAGAACTCATGTTGTAGTTACCTTAAATGTCTTTCCTGTTCACTCACAAAAGTTGTTCTTCCTGATCGACAGTATTTTTTTCTACTTGGAATTTCATCTAGAAGCTCTTGAATCCAATTGATTTCAACACGTTCCTATTTTTTTAAAAAATGGTAGCATTTTAAAAACAAGTATAATAAAATGTGTCTTCATTTTCTATTTGTATTTGTATAAAAGTTATATTTTTACCATGACTTTTGATCTTAAGCAAGGTTGCAGGGAATTACTCAAAGTATTTATTAAAAAAATCTAAAAAATTTTTATACTCTACCAGAAGGGGAAAATTTTCACTATAGTATGAATAATGTGGAATATATATTAAACGAATTGATTTTTAGATAAATTCTTCTAATTAAAGACATGTAGTAGTCACAAATTTGGTGCTTCCTTGAAAAATATCAAATCCCGTGATCGGCTCCCTAAATATTTGTTTGTATCCTTAAGTTTTAATAAAACTCTCTCAAAATAAATATGTCATCACCAATTAATAAACCAAACTTATCCATAAAAACACAACAGCAACAATATTCAATCGATCCAATAAACGAATCATCATTATCGTCATCAATTCATAATGCAACTTTACAAGATATAGCCATCGGAATAAATAAGATTGAAAACATTTTACTTGATTTTACCAAGCAAATGTCTTTACTTAATGAAAACATTTCTCAAATAATAATAAACCAATCACCACTATCACCACTTCCTCAACAACAAAGAAATCGAAAAAGAAGCCAAAATGTGGCTGTTATTACTGAGCGAAATGAAGCATGTATTAAAAAAGTTATGGATAAAAAAGAAAATCTCAAGAGTTTTGATTTTTCAAAGGTATGTTAATATCTCTTATCATAAATTTTTTTTAAGAAAAAAGCAACAAAATTAAGATACAATTCAATTTTATAGGATTTGGTTCCTTATGGACACATAATGCAGGAAGAAATGAAAAATACAAAATTTAGACTATCCTTTTCTTTCCTTATTTATAATTTTGACTCATTGGTGAAATGTCAAGGATGTCATTCATTTCCAAACGGTTCCCTAAAAATGGATTTTGTATTGTGTGTGAATTTAATTTCCAACATGGCTATTCTAAACTGATTCCAAATAATCAATTTCATGATAACACACCACATACAATGAAAATTGAAGTCCTTGTTGTTGATCTTTGTAGAGAGGTTTTTGGATTTACAAAATATCATGAATTACAAAAGGAAAGTATAATATCATTTATTACAGGACATGGATACACTTACTGTTATCCTAACTGGAGGTGGAAAAACTCTTATATGTGCAGCTTCTGCATTGCTTTTTAAAGGTTTAACAGTAGTGTTTACACCATTAAAATCTCTTATGGAAGATCAATTAGTAAGCATATGGTTTATATATTTTTTTTTTATAATTGTAAATTCATTCATTTAACATTCATCAAAATAATCATGTACAGATGGAATTGGTAAAGATGGAAGTTCCATCTGCTACACTACTTGCATCATCAGATCAGCCACCACATGTCCATGAAAAAATTTTTATGGAAATAGCTTCAGAATTTTACTAACAACACCAGAATAATTTATTAAAAATATTGGATTTCAAAAAATGTTGGAAAGGTTATCAAAATCACAAGGAATCCAATTTGTAATTGATGAAGCCCATTGCATTGTAGAATAGTGTGATAGATTTATTGCAAATAATATAAATTATCAGCAATTCTTGTATAAAAATATCAGGATTTGAATAGTTCTAAACTAGAATATCAAAAGAAATTGGCATGTGCATGTTGACTAGCAATTTAGAAGAATATATTGGTGTTTAAGGTTGAACAACATCAAACTAATGATCATTATCAAAAAATTGATCTATTAAATCAAATTTACAATTGTCACTGTCTCCTCCTTTAAATTATAATTATTCAAATTTATTAAATCCACGAACATTAAATAATCAATCACGTAATCATCGTTGGAGTTATGATTCAAATCGAAATCAAATAATCCAACATAATTATCATAATCATCAACAACATCAATATCTTCATCATCATTCACCTATTAAATATAATAATATAAATAGAGAAAGTATATCAGTAAGATGAAGCTATATTGTCATTATTATTATTTATTAAATTAAATTTATTTTTATTTTATTTAACCGTAAAAATTTTTTATAGCGAGATTTACAAAATCTTGACAAGGAATTGGATGATCCAATCGATAAATTTGAAAATATGAGACTTAGACCAGAATTACTCCGAGGAATTTTAAATTTTGGGTAACTAATAATTATTTGATTAATTATTAAACTATATTTATATTATTATTATATATATTTATGTATTATCATTAATTATAATAATAATAATAATAATAAAGATTAGATCGACCAACTTCTATACAACAAAGAGGAATCCCACTGTTACTTAATGGATTAGACGTTATAGCGCAAACACAAATAGGACAAGAGAAAATAGCAACATATTCAATAACGATTTTACAAAACATTGAAATATCAAATTATAAATGTCAGGCCTTAATAGTTACATCAACAATTGAATCAGCGGAGCAGATTTATCAATTCATTCTCGGCGTATCCAATTTAATGACAAACTTGGAATGCTTTATGTGTACTGGAGGAGCAAACAACGATGAAGATGTTAGAGAAATAATGAAATTGAAACCACATATAATTATTGGTACTTGGAATCGAATATATGATTTGGTTAATTTGAAATCAATTGATTTATCTTATCTAAAGATCTTTGTAATCGATGAATTAGACATGCTAATTCAACAAGGATTTAAAGATCAAGCAATTGAGATCAGACAACAATTGCCATTCACGACTATTTTACAAACATTATTATTTACATCAAATATTACATCAGAAATGATGGATTTTAGTAATGTGTTGAAAATGAGAGAACCAATCAAGATGTTGGTTAGGAAATCAAATGATCAAAAATTATTAAGTTCACCACCATTAACATCAATACCATTATCACTACCATTACCATCATCGCCACCGCCACCTCCGCCAAAATCATCATCTACTTCTATTAATAACACTAATAATAATAATAATAATAATTTAAATGTTAGTGCCAGTAACTTTAATAATAAAAGAATTTCCAAAGTTATTATAAATGCTCCTCCTATTACAAATAGCAATATCAATAACAACAATAATAATATTATATCATCGACAGTGAATAAACTCAAGAATAATAATAATTTACAAAGTTTACAGAAATTACATGAACAACAAAGAAAATACAATGAAATGAAAATATCTATAAAACAATATTATCGTTATATAGCAATGGATAAGGGTGATTGGAAATTGGAGACGTTAAATGATTTTTTTGATGACATTAAAAACCTTCAAACAATAATTTATTGTAATAAAGAAAAAACAATTGAAAAAATATGTTATAAATTGGCATTAAAAAATTTGGAAACTGTTGCTTTGGTTTGTATATATTTTATTGTATATTATATATTATATATTGTATATTAATTATTTTTCTGGGGGGTTTTTTTTTACAAAAAAAAAGCATGAAGAAATGACGTCAACACAACGTGAATCTATTTTAACAAAGTTTTTAACAAATAAAGTTCGAATATTAGTTACAACTTGTGTACTAATACAAGGGAATGATATATGTGAATTTATACCTTTGATAATAAATTATGACTTGCCAGCTTCGCCTGAAATTTATGGGCAAAGGTATTTATATAAATTTTTTTTATTACTAATCGGATGGCAAAGGAGAGAAATAAACCAAAATTTGTTATTTTATATATATGTAGAATTTCATGTGCATCATCTAATACTAAACAAGGCATAGTGATTTCAATTATTAACTCGAGATCAAAAGAAATGGGAAAGTTGAGAAATATTGAAGAATTTTATAAATTTAAAATGCTTGAAATGCCTGATAACTTGTTTTCATATTAAAAGTTATTTTGTATATTTAATTATTATTATTTATTGTTATTGTATTATTATAATAATTTGATCATTTGTATATTTAATCATTAAACATTATTCTTATCAAATGTCATGGAAAATGAGATTTCAGTTTCAAATTTTAGTAGCTATTTACCCCCAATAGCCAATAATTGTTTATTTTCATTCATCGTGTAGGACACGCTGCAACAAAGTGCGCGCGTGAGAAAACATTTTCAAAATCTCCAACTGTTGATAAAGGTTTTTGGTTAATAAATTTTACATTTATTTTAGTAGCCCAACAAAATACCACAAGCAATTGTGGAGACCTTTTTATTTCTGTTATATTGATCACTCTTTTAGCACTACTGAAATTTTTGCTTTTGAATTAATGCTTGAAATCCTTTTATCAAAGTTAATTGAGATGAAAACTGAAAATTTTACGCAGAACAGTGAAAAAATTTAGTATTTTTCTTTTCTATTTATATCGTCTCCTTTATTTATCCATTTCCTATTTCACCCTTATTCATCCATCCATTTGAAGGTATACTGAAACTCGTTTACATAAGATCTACAAGAATTACGGCATTAGAAGAATTTTGGAAAAGGAACAAGACGAGAAAATTGTATAAATGATACAAGTAAAACCACTTGACGTAAATAAAAACACTTGACGTAAATAAATGCTTGATACAAGTAAAACGCTTGATACAAGCAGCAATAATGATAATGATAATGATAAAATAGGATTATCAAAAGTTCCAAACTATGTAAAATGTGTGTCACGGGGATGAATAAAGAATTATTATATCATTGTATGTATATTGCAATGTGCAAGAAGAATAATTATCGTAGAAGTTTACAAATGTTATAATTTGAATTAAAACTTTTACCTAATTAAACTACTTGTTTTTTTTCCCGTATATTTTCATTCAAAATAAAAATATCTCTTCTTTTTTGCAAATTAAAACTATCCTTTTATTGTTACATAATCAAATTGTCTTTACATACATATGAGTTGTGTTAAATTAATATTTTTGACTTTTGAAGTTAACTACGCGTAATAGTGATACGCAATAATATTAATAATGTGCTTGAGCTGTCTTTAATGTCTGAGTTTGAAGCAATATAGATCGATCAAATATTGGTACTCGGAACGACCTTTACATAGCACATAAGACAGGTTTTGGTACATATTTTTGTAAGTTTTAATTTCGTTTCCTATTTTTATCACTTTAAATCTTCAAAGGATTTTTATTGTTGAATCATGATAAATGATTGGTGATGAAGTTTAAATAATGTAATTTTTAAAGGCAATCAAATATAAAAAACGTTGTACGAAAAAAATTGCTTGTTACACATTATTCAATTCTCCGCAAAAAATCTCCACATTCATTAAAACACCAAGTCGAATTTTATATTTTATATTTTATAATGTCACATGCTAAACTATTATTGTTGTCATCACAAGAAAGAAAAAACTTTGTATATAAAATTTATAGTGAAGTATTTAATGATGCTAATGCTAATTATGATAGAGAAAGTAGAAAAGATTATTTTTTTTCATTAGTCAAAAAAAACAAGGAGCTTTCTGAAAATGAAAAGGAATATTGTAGAGAAAAGTTTATTTATGAGTTTGAACTAAAAAATGCAATATATAAATTGGGAAAACCAAAAGAATGTAACAAGTGTGGATTGACAAGATACTCTGATAGGTTCTGTGAAGGTTGTATTAATTTACAATTACAGAGTCTTTTCACCACTTGG